ATTAATGTTTATTAATAATAATTTTAAAAACTTAATCTACATTTATATATACTAAAATTAATATTTATTGTATTTCAATAATTATTTATTATTTTATGTGATAAATATATTTTCAATAATTATGTACAAATCTATTTTTGTTTTGTTATTTAATAAAAAAATTCTAGTAATTATTAAATCAACTAATAATATATTTTAAATAGTTACTGAATAACTTCCAATTATAATACATAGACTATGATTTTAAATAGTTAAAATAACAAAATTATGTATTAATACTACTATAATTTTATGGATTATTAAATTCAAAAAGTAATTAATATTTTAAAATTTAAATAATGATATTATTTCAATAAATAAATAATATTGTAAATAACTAATTTCATTTATACCAATTAATAATCCTAGAAAATAACTTTCAAGAAATTAATGTTTATTAATAATAATTTTAAAACTTAATCTATATTTATTATATATTTATATATACAAAAATTAATATTTATTGTATTTTAGTAATTATTTATTGTTTTTTGTGATAAACATATTTTCAAAAATTATGTACAAATCTGTTTTTGTGTTGTTATTTAATAAAAAAATTTCAATAATTATTGGAGATTAAACTATTATTCATGGGTTGGTTTGATTTAGTTGTAAGTTGTTTGACCAACCAAATTGACCTGGTCAGGTTGGGGAGTTGGTCACTCAGGTTACATCAGTTTAGGTCAATTTTCGGTTTGGTCGGTCGGTTCAAAAGATTTAAACTTAAAAACTTAAATTTAAATTTAAAAAAGTACAATGGTATTATTAAAAATTAAATTTATGGTATAAAATATTTTAGCCTAGGAAATATTGGAATTTTCCCACTTTCATGTATTCATAAAAATATATTTAAAATATGAAATATTAATATATATTTATGGTTGGTTCATTCAATTTTAGTCAGCTTAAAAATGGTCAAGGTGAAACTAATCCAACCCATTCAGGTTAGGAAATTGTTAAACCAAAGCCAACTAGAAATACTATAAATCAAGTTGGTCAGTTTCATTAGTTTGATTAGGAATGGCAACGGAGTGGGGTGGGGACAAGGAGCCTCTCCCCATCCCTGTCTCCATGAGGATCCCCACTCCCTATGATTCTTTATAATGTTAACCATTATGTTTTTGTTTTTTATTTTATTTAAAAAATAAAAATAAAATTGATGGTGCGCAATCCGGCCGGTCTTAGCTGACAATGACCTTGCCTCTGAACGGAATTGCGAGGAACCTGAAACGGAGAAGAAGAGGAAGCTCCGGGGGGAACCCGGTGTGGAGGCTCCGAAGCTCAAGTTAGAATCCTTCAAAGGCAAGATAAAACCAGATAGCGCAAAGTTTGCATACCTTGTTCTTGGGGGTAGGGGGCCTTTTATAGCCACCTCGTGCACTCACTCCTAAGCTTCTGT